TCATGGCCATCTATGACTTCTAATAACTGTTCATTAAGGGTCCAATGTGGGGGCTCACATGCAGTAGGTCCTAATTAAATTCACTCTTTCATGAACAACAATGACAAAAAGGATATTTGCGAGCAACATGACAAAGAGTTGATGTCTTTTATGACTTGTATTGTTTGTTTTATTTTCACGGGGTTTACCAAAAAAATAATAAAACTCAGTAATAAGGGATAAAATGAAGAAGTAATTTAAGACGAGAAATGTTCAGCCTTGCTAGGATTAAACACAAAAGTAGTATGGCAACCCAGAAATCTTTTTTAACCTATCAAATTTGCAAAAATATCAAATGAAACAATACTTATTTCTTGGTGAGTGGAAGGATAGAGAGAGGGAGGTTATTCTCATAGTTTTACTGATGGAATAATGGTATTCATCTTTTTTTCCTTTTAAATGTTGAAGTTTAATGTTACATACAAAAATTGAACATATCAATGTATACAGTTGATTAATTTTTACAAATTGAATGCATGTGGTAGTACTCAGATCAATAAACAGGACATTATTGGCCCCCTTGTGCTCCTTCCAGTAGGGCTCTAACACAGCCTTCTGGAAAGAAAATACATATGCGTTAACAGATATGTGAGGTGCAGTAGGGATATACATACTCAGCTTTAGTAGTTACTGCAGTTTTCTGAAGTAGCTTTATCAAAAAAAAAAAAGAAGAAGAAAAAAAGATGAATAAATAAACCAAAGACATATCAGTCTATACTCCTACAGCATCCACGGTGGGTATTCAGTTGCTCTGCTTCCTTATAAATTTTTCATTTTGAAAAGCAATTTGAGCAGAGCAATATCAAGAACCATAAATATAACAATTGGAAAGATAGGAAAAAAGTACATGCACAAAAACATTCAAGCAGCAGTTCTAGACAGTCTCGCCTGCTGTGACCGAAACACTTTGTTATCTGTGGCTGCTTTTTGTCTCAGGTGCAGAGTTGACAGTAGGTGACGGATAGAGACTGCAAAGAAGCAGAAAATTATGACGGATCCCTGCCAAGAAAAGGTGTGCCGACCCCCTAACCATAGAGCATTAGTTTAGGACTAGAAAACATTGTCACGTAACCAGTATTCTACAGAGGAGATTTATTAGAAAAGTCCTTGAGTGTAAATTGGATATACCATATTAATGGGAGATGTAGGAGCATCTATCGTTAGACCAGCAAATATTTATTGCATTGTGGCATTGTTAGGTACCTTTGCTAGATGCTAGAAATCAAATAAAGACAAAATACCTCACTCATAAAGCTTAAATTTTGAGTAGTGGAATATAGAAATAACATGTAAATAAGTAAGTAAAGATGAACATGTAAAGGATAAGTGTTAAGAAGGAAAACAATAGGGTAGGATATGAAGATATTTCAGGTGAGGTGCTTGATGTTTTAGGTTAGGGTTGCCAAAGATACATCTCACTTTAGAGAAAGTGACTTGTTGGAGTGTAAGGACTTAAAAAATAAGCAAGAACTTGATAGTGCAGTGTGCTTGAGGAGAGGTATTTGGAAGCAAAGGAAACATTAAGTACAAAGGGTCAGTTGGAAAGTGCCGGTTACATGTTCTAAGAACCAAGAATATCAAGGGCTTGCAGTGGGGAGTAAAGAAGGGGAGAGTCACAGGAAAGAGAGTCTGGTTTGCAGAGAGGTTGAACAGGGGTTGAAAATATACCCTAATTGGATTAGTAATGGCTGGGGAGGGCAGATCACCATAGAATCTGTGGCACAGATGAAAAAACTATGTGTAGTTGTTCAAGTAGGAAAAAAAGACACGATCTGTTCTTCCTTCAGTTTTTCCCTTCTCGCCCTAATTAGATGAGCTATCATTTAAAGCTTATGCATAATGAAAAATTGAAGAAAAATACTTAAATGGCTAATAGTAGTTAACCCGAGGGTTATGAGCTACGTCTTTTTTTTGTTTTCTTTGTTGGCCACAGTCTGTCCATTAATTTGCGCTATATTGATTGATAATAAAAAGCAATATTTAGAAACCTGATAGGAGTTTATAGACATATTTATGTCTTTGAGTAAGCTGGTAGAAAATCATGTACTTTAGATCTTTCCCAAGTGTGATTGTTAACTTGATCCTGTATTGATGGTGGGGCGAGGGCAGCAGTTGCCTTAAAACATCTATTAAATTGTTGGTTTTTAAGATTAAACCATTCATAAGCCGTTTCAGTGTGTTTTAAGCCAGAGGAACTGTAGAGAGCTGAGAGGAATGACCTATTAACCCTGTTATTTTATACGGTGGGGAAATGATCTGTGGAGAACGTGAAGGAACTCAGCTTCGAGTTCCTTTTTGTAGATGTTGGTGATGTTTGCATCACCATTTGAGTCTGAGACTATCCAGGCACCCCTGATGCGTGGTGTGGATTATAATTGGTCTAATCTTTGTCATGCAAAGAAAGTATTAAAGATGATAAATCTTTTGAATCTGTTTTTTCAAATCTTCTTCAGTGATAAAGCCACTATGGGCAAATATGGTACCAATTTAACTGAGATTTAGAATCAGGATTCTGAATGGAGTCCCTGGTTAAGAGCAGGAACTTGTGCCGCTCAGTGGCCTGGATTTGACATTTTTTCTGGGTGCGCCTTGGTTAGGTGTAAGCTTCTTTGGCTTGAGTTTCTGCAATTATAAAGATGTTATAATACTAATGTGCGGCGCGTATTATATAGCTTCAGCAGGGTTGTTGTGCAGATTAAATGAATTCATGTGGGTAGGAGCGGAGGAACATATGGAGGATAAAATTATTTGAGCGTGTAAATTATCTGTGTAGCAGCGTCAGGAGAGTGTATTTGACACTAGGTAGCCGCAGGAGAAGAAATCCTTGAATTGTAGGGTTGTAAACTCTATATATGTCTCTCTATTTGGTTTTGTAGTAAACATATTAGTAATTACTTAAAAAATATTTTAAAACTGACATCTTAATTAGTCATAGTGGTTTCGAAATTGGTGTGGGTGTCTGGTTGTAGCACTTGTGATGCTATTAGGACCGCTTGCACAACAGTTATCAAATTTTGAAAAGAAAGAGGATGTTTCATCTCTTTTATGTGTGCTAGATCAGAAAGAGAATGAGGATTTATTTGCAATAAAAAATACTGTGATTGAGGAAACGGCGAGGAGCTGAAGCTGTGTCAAAAAGTAGGTGATGAAAAGTGGGCCAGCGGATTATGTATTGTGCAGCATTTGGTGAAAGGGCAAAAGACATGGTCCAGTGTGCTTTCTAGGAGATAGATTTAGTGGTGTTTTTTACTGGCAGCAGTTAAGGACTTCTATTGTGTTTGTGTGTGTCTGATGAGATATTGATGTGTAGGCCGTATCGAAGCGGCAGATAAAGACAAGCCTACATGAATTAAAGCTGAGACCACACCAATGCTGATCATAGAATGATCAAGAGAGCGTACTTGTGAGTGATCGACAGGGGAAATGAGTAGATGGTTTAAACCCTGTTCCTTTGAGATTTCATTCAGGTGGTGTCAGGTGAGACAGCAATTGAGAAGAGGGTATAGCGCACGCAAAGGGTATCAGAAAACCATAACATATTTTGTCATGTACTCGCACAACAACGGACGAATATAATGGATTAGTAGGTATGTGCCACATAAACCCAGCATGACTCATAATATGTTGTTTGGAATTAAGAAAACTAGAAACGCCAGAATATTAGTACATTTTTTTGCCTCATGTATGAAAACTGATACTCATAATAGATTTATAAGAAAAATATAATGGTTAGTATTGTATTAATCTAAGGAGGTATGTGACGATAAAAGTCGATTTAGAAATTTAGACAAATTAGCGATTGTTTTCGTACAGTGGGCTACAGTATCCAGTGACTAAGATTACAAGGTGCCATGATTGACAGGTTGTGTTGAGAAGGCGACTCTGAATGATAGTCTTTTCATATACAAAGTATTTAGGTCTAGTGTGTACATGTAAGTGTGGGCCATACATAAGTAAGCCATTAGTTCGGTGTGTTATGGAACTGCTTGTGGCGACTTGCCACATAGGATTCTATA